GCTTTTGTGTTGTGATGAAGATTTGGGTTGGAACAAATGCTTTTATCAATAAATAAGTCTCAGTAAAATTTGCGTTCCAATGGTTATGTAGTTAGATGTCACAATAGTATGGTCTGAAAATGGCAAGGCATATCTTCACCGCCAGGGTTCACTTGTAAAAGAGATTTTTAATCTCAATGTGATTATCCTGGTTAACTAAAGGTAAAGAAGAAAGAGTGTCTTGAGTAAATTGAGAGTGTCAAACTCAAATCACAAAGTCACAGTACAGCTTCATTTAGTGCTTTATTGCTCTAAAACAGTTGAACTAATGAGAAAAAACAATGAGTCTTGTCTAGCTAGTAGCTAATGAAAAGGCAAAGAGAAAGATTTAAGACAAACATCGATAATTTGGAGACGAATAGACTTATTTGTGTTTATAAGCACTCGGCTGTTTTCCTGATACATTTAATCTGCAGTGAGAAACTGTCATGCACTAAAGTCACAAAGATGAAGTCAGCATCTCATTCACCAGCTTCTTGTTTGAATTTTCCTGTTTCACCTTAAATGGTGCAGCAGTTGCATTCTGTCTGTCTGCGTTTTTTCATTTAGATTTTTTTAGTCTACACTAGGATATTAGCTACCACACAGTAAGACACATTTTCAGACAAGATGGTAAAATGTTACTTCAATAAAATGGACATAAAATGTTGTAGTTCCCAAGGCAGATTGATTTTTGTTAAAAGGGAAAATGACTCCTTTTGCGTTGCTGCCCCCTGGCTTAGAATTAGGTCAAGATCCTGTTAGGAAAAGATAAAAACTAATGGCAGATACTGCCTTTCACTTTGGAACCACATGGGCGCCAACCACCTCATTTATGCCTTTATTAACTGGGGGGGGCCTGGTCGGAAGAGTTTTTTGGAATGTCGAGACCCCTCTCGGGTCTCTACCTCTCTCTCTTCTTTCTCCCCTTTCTTGTGGACATGCTTTGCATGTATTTGGATTTTTTTGTTGGACCGCCCATTCAATCAACCAATAAAAACCTGAAGGCTATTGTGGACATGACTTGAGCTGGTCAACCACGGGCTCATGGCTTGAGCTGGTCCAACCCTTTTCAGGTGATTGAGAGACTCGGACTGCAGGTGAGTTGGCCTTTGGTGGGGTTTCCAACTAGATTTAGGCACACACTCTTAATTAGGCCTACGTTTCATGTTAAATCTCAACACGTAGAGGCAGTGTGTCTTTGTTACAGTCAGGACTAAAATACACAGATTAGGCCATAGACAACTTGGCATTTCTTTGTTGGTATTAGTGGTTACTGGGCATGTAAGAATTCTATCTAATAATTTTGTGAAAATTGTACATTAATAATTTAACGCTGCTAACTGTTGCTGTGCATCAGAGACTGTATTTTTATTTTTTTTTAATGCTGTTGGAATCAATGGAGCCGACTCAATTTTACCAAAACAGTGCCAGAGCTGGTGATGAAGGGATACTGCAGAGATTAACCCATCATAAACTTAGATTACCCAATATTTTGAGTAGCTACTCAGAGAAAATCATTGCTGTAGTTGTAATTCTTTAAAAATTAACCATTACTAACCAGATATAGTTTTCATGACAGAGCAATTAGATGTTATCTTCTGTTTCTTTTCTCATAAGGCTAAAGTTGGCTTCTTATCCAAGTGTTTTGTTCCACCTTAAACGATGCAGCAGTTGCACAGTTGCAGTGCAAGTGTGGCACCATAAGTTGAAAAGGAAAACTGGAATAAGAGGCTGGCAAATAAGAAGCCAACTTTAGCTTCATCCTGTGTTCTCTGAATGCAGACAGAATCTTATTATTATTTAATATCCCATATTCACGTATGTAGACTCACTGTGCACTGTGATGTTGACAGGATTGCTGCTCTCTCCAGATTCAGAATCACACCAGTACACTCCAGTGTGGGATGGGTTGAGGGAGCTGATGTTGCATGTAGATCCTGTAACTGATCCCCAGCCTGATGAACAATCTGACACCTTCTCACTGTGTGTGTATCGTCTCACTCTCCATCCAGTAGAGTCACTCTGTCCCTCACAGCTTAGTGAGAGAGAGTCTTTAGTAAAGTGTTGAGTTCTGCTGGGACTGACCGTCAGAGAGACTGGAGGAGAAACACCTTAAACACAGAAATTACAATCAAGATATGTAACTGTGAATGTCTCATAACACTATAGCTCATGTACTGAACACATTTTTCGAATTACATGTTGAGAATTACAGAGAACACAGTGAAGATTATGTATTCTCATTAATTTTATTGACTTGCCTTAAACACTCCCTGTTCAGAAGTATAAATGTAACAATGTGCCTTTGACCTCCTTGGATCTCATTATCACTTTGCCCACCTCTGTTTATTCTGTTGCACTACCCTTTCATTACTGCCCTTTCATTACTGCCAGGTCTAAAGGACTAGAGGATGACTAAAGTATGCAGCAACAGATGAGCTACTGTATCTGACTTAACATCCAAAAGGTAGGAGTGTCTAATAGAGTGGACAGTAAGTGGACAGTGTTTAAAAACTCCAGCAGCACTGCTGTGTCTGATCCAACACACACTTACACACCACCAACACATCAGTGTCACTGCAGTGCTGAGAATGATTGACCCCCCAAATAATACCTGCTCTGTGGTGGTCCTGTGGGGGTCACAGGGTAAAAGGGGGCTAACAAGGTATGCAGAGAATCAGATGGACTACAGTCTGTAATTGTAGAACTACAAAGTCCACCTATATGGTAAGTAGAGCTGATAAAATGGACGAATAGTGTACATACAATGTATGTGTACTTAATGAAGTAGCCAGTTGGTGTATATATGAGGAGTTCATTTGCAAAAACAAATCTCCATTTTAATCAATGTTTATTGTGTGTGTGTGTGTGTGTTTTTGTGCATTCCAGGTAATATAATTCAAAACTGATGTTGTTTGCTTAAGTAAAAATAACTCAATAAAATAAATGTAACTTACAAACTTTATTGAAACTTTTTTTTTTAATTTTGTTTTTTGGCAAAACAGAAAACTCCAGTGTTCATTTCATGTATCAGAGTTAAAAAAAAGCCATGTAATGTTTATTTTAAGTGCAATATTTACCATTCTTTAACATTAAACAAGTGGGTAAAATGCTGAACTGCAAAAAAAAAAAATAAGAGCTCATTAATATGCAATATTAAATCTATAAGAGCAAACCTCAGGAAGTCCTAAGGCTGAATCTCAAATGGCTCACTGCTCACTATATAGTGCACTATGTGAGTTATGACATTTTGGCTTTTACACCTAAATATTACACTTTATGTCCAGTATGGGTTTGTGCACACTAACTGAACCCAAAGTGGCTCTTTGTTAGACAGACTGTGCGCTGTTTGAATGCAGTAGACTTAAAATAAAGTCCTACATACTGCATTTTGTAGAGAGAAGTGAGCCATATGAAATTCTGTCTACAACAGTGCGTGGCAGTGTTCCATCACCTGACCTGAATGCTGCACAAATTTATCGGGTACTGTTGAGAACAGCACTGCGTTTGACTGTGCTGTAAACTGTGAACTTGTAGTGCCTTGACAATGGACAACAACAGCTTTTGTGACAAAACGTATTTAGGGTTCACAATATGCTGTGTCAGCTTGTTTTTTTTAAGGATCATTTTTTGCAAATGAACTCTTCATAAATAAGTTAAGTGTAATGCTTGTTTTCAATTGGGCCTGATTAGTTTTTTTGATTTTTTGACTTATACCTGCCATTGTTGATAATGTGTTAATGAATTTACTTTGACTTATTTTATTTTTTTAACAAACATAATGCGTATCACTAAATTGGCTAATTAAAAAAATAAAATAAAAAATAAAAATAAAAAACTGACAATACCACTGAATGAAAAGTCATTTGGGAGCTGCAAGAGTCTGCTCTTACAAGTTGATCTGACCCACTGAAAAGTGCCAGAATACCCATCACTACTGTGTTGGCTTATGGCCTCTTTCCACTGGGTGGCTACGGCACGGTTACAAATCCGTGATCACGAATTGTGGAGTTGGGTCCACTGTCAGGTGAACTGTACCTAAATACTAAAAGTGAATTTGGTTACCCTTCTCACTGCTGTACCAAGTGTACTGATCTGAAAGGTATGGATGGAGCAGTTAATGTCATAAACCAAACCACTGAGTGGTTAGACTTGTCAAAGCTACATGGTATCACTGAAATCAACTGACCACCATTAAGACATGTTATATAGCCAGAATAGCTGTCTGTGATTCTTCACATAAAATCAAATACTGAGTAAACAGTAATCTAGAACTTGAAGCTTCTCAACTGTTGTTTATGTTTACTGTAAGGCCAGTTGTGCATGATAGCTCATCTGACCACAAAAGCTAAAGAGAAAACCACCTACATTCACAGTTCTGCTATGAGATGTGAAACAAACACAGTTACTTAATCAAGGTACGGATAGTTCTGGGTTCTGATTTGTAACCGTACTCGGCTGCACGGTGGAAAAACACACTCAGTGTCTTTTTTTGCATTCAGTAATGTGACTGTCCATGAGGGTTTCATGTTTCTGGTTATCCCTTGTAGATAGTTTATTAGTATATATTTTTTTTCACATTTGCATCCTGTCAAAATACACTAACCAGCAACATGGCTATAATTCTTCAAATTGAGAAATTATTTAGAGAAAGATTAAGTGATAATTTGTAATAATAGAAAAGTAGTTTAAATCTTATATGTGATCTTAATCTTTCATTCACTTGCTACAAACGTGCTCAAACCCAGCACCGTTATCACTATATTTCCTCACCAGTGATCCATAGTGGCTGTGGATTGCTGAACTGTGAGTGATACGCTGGTTTTCCTCTCGTTGCTCTGCACATATAAACTCCTGTGTGATTAAGAGCAGCAGGGCTGAGTGTGTAGGAGCCTCCAGCTCCTCTGCTGATGTCTAACAGGTGCCCATCTTTATCTCTGTACCAGCTGAATGTCCAGCCTGTAGAGGAGCCTCTGACCTCACAGTTTAGAGTCACTGAGTCTCCTTCAGTCAGCCAGCTCTGTGGAGACACTCTCAGCACTGCCTGAGCTCTGTCTGTTACACAGAAACACAGTGTTAATTTACTTAGACACAAAAACAACCTTACATAATAGAATGATATCACAAAACAAACCCACAGACTCACCTGATACAGTCAGTGTAACCGCATCACTGATCTCTGATCTCTGAGAGTCACTCCTCCTCTCTCCTCTACAGGTGTATTTACCACTGTCAGACTCTACAACACTGAATGAATATTCTGTTGTATTATCAGAAGAATGAACTGGATGGTTACTGTCACCATCTTTATACCAGCTGTAGCTCCACTCAGTGTCTGTGTGTCCTTGTATGTCACATCTGAGAGTTACTTTCTCTCCAGTAAACATCTGTCCAGTAGGCACCAGGATCAGTGAAGCTTTTGGTCTCTCTGTACAATTATATCACATGTAAATTTCAGATATATTTAATGAAAGTGTTTTGTTATAATGATGTGTTACTGCATTTTACAGGAGTATAAGACCGAACATGTACCTATCACTGTGAGAGTCACTTCATTACTCCAGTCAGATTGTCCTTGGTTATGGTTTCTATGACCATAACATTTGTATTTTGAACTCTGATTCACTTTGATGTTTCTTATGATGTAATGCTTTTCATCAGAATGCTGAGGTGGGGTGTTATCATTGATCCAGCAGTACGTCCAGTCAGTTACTTTCTCTCCTGGCAAATCACATGTGAGTGTAACATTCTCTCCACTGAATATCTGTGGCCAATCAGGCTGCACAGTCAGATGTGGTTTTGGTTGCACTGTGAAGATTAAACAGCAAGCACATCTATCACCGAACAGGACTCACATTCTGCATGTCAGTCAATGAACTCAACTTTCTGGATGTTATAAATCAAACATCAACACACAATATAAACGGTTTACTATATGTAAATCACCTTGAGCATGCCCAGTTTGGATGAATGAAACCAACACTGAAAACAGGAAGAAAGACAGAGAACATGTTAACACTGAAATTATTCCTTTCTTCAGAAAAAAGGGAAAAAGCATACTAAAAAACAAAAGTAGCCTGAAAGTTGAAAGAAATAGTACACAAGACTAAATATAGTCAAGCAAATCTAGTAAAACTGATGGAAATAAAAAATATTTACTGCCAAAATAAACTTTCTTCACAAGTGAAGCTGACAAGACTGACACATTCCACTCAGGCCACTGCGCTGCTCGTATTTCTCACATTTAAAGTGTGAAGTCATTTCTGCCTCATGATAGCAGTGCCCTGGTGCACGAGGACAAAGCCACTGAGGTTTACAGCCCATCAGAGGACTTAAACAACACTGTTAACCCTCATCAGTGTCACTTTAGTTGCTTTAGTAATAATAGTTTTGCAAAACATCTTTCATACATAACCATGCAGCTGAAGGTGCATCACAAAAATGGTACAAATTGAACAAGCTTAAATAAAAGAAGCAAAAAAAGGAACAAAAAAAAAAGTCTAACAGCAAGGTCTAACCAAAAGCTGGTGTAAATACACATTAGCCTGCTTTTTTTAAACTATCAGCAAAAGATGTATGAAAGAACTGTAAAACTTCTGAGCATAAAAACGGAAAACTGTCTGTAGTGTATGAAGATGTCACAACGAGTCTTGCTTTAAAACTATGAGAAAAACTTTAGTTCATATCCCAATGCCAAAGAAAGGAGACCAGAAAGAACGCGCAAATATTGTACAATTTCCCTATTACACACCAGTAAAATTATGCACAAGATCTTTCAATGCAGACTAGAGTCTTATATTCAAAGCTGCCAAACATACAAGCTAAATTCAGTGAAGGCAGAGAACAAGAGATAAAATTGCCGATGTACATTGAATGATTGAAAAAGCAAAGGAATTAATGAAGGAAGTCAATGTGTTTCATTGACTACATTGTCACCTTAAATAGCTCAGCCAGTTTGCATTTAGTTTCCTGTAGTTACAGAATAATAAGTCTTAGTATGTAGTAAGCCTGGGATTTTAAGGGGTTAAAGCCTTTGACTGTTTGGCTGCAAAAAATTATGGAATGTGCTCAGGGAAATGGGCATAGCAAAGCATCTCCTTATTCTAAAGAGGACCCTGAAACCCTGAACACTGATCAACCAGCTACAGTCATGACAGAAAATCAATCAAGACATTGGTTCCACATTAGCAAATGAATTAGGCAAAGCTCTATACTGTCAACATACCTCTTCCACCTGTATGCTGAACATGTAATAAGTAAAGCAGGACTGGAGGAAGATGATTGAGGATTCAAGACTGGAATAAATATAAATAACCCTCAATATATGGATGACACAACAGACATAGCAGAAAATCAAGATCTGAAGGTCTTAATAAGAAAGTTGATAAAAAGAGTGAAAAGATGGGACTTCTGTTTACTATGAATGTCATGACAGTGAGAAACCCTGCTAACTTTACCATTTATGGTGTAGATGTAGAAGTGGTTGACAGATTTTGCCTACTTAGATCAGTTATTAAAAGGATTCAGCAGTCAAGAAATATGACACGCATTAGCACTTAGCAGAACAAAGGAGCTTGAAAACATCCTCAAAAGATCATTATTGTCCAGGCTATGGTCTTGTCTGAGGTTTATTATGGATGTAAAAGAAGGATGATTAAAAAAAGCAGATCAGGAAAAATATTGATGCCTTTGAGTTTTGGTGCTGGTGAAGACATGTGAGAGTGTCTTTGTTGGCAAAGAAAAGAAATAAATGGATCCCTTATTAAATCAATCCTCTCCTCTCACACAAAGCCTAGATAACCAAACAGAACTCATGGACATATGATGAGAGGAAGCAAGTCATTGGAAAAGACCATTATGCCCGGAACAGTTGAAGGTAAAAAATGAAGAGGACGACCAGCAACAAGATGGGTGGAGATAATCAGGTGAACCATGAACCAGCCGTTAAGAAAACCCAAATAGAGAACAGGATATTCTGGAGAAACGGCATCAATATGGTCACCAGGATTTGGAACCGACTTGATAGCACTTAATGGTAATAGTTTTCTACCTAATGTGAAACTTATGTAAAATTGGGCTGAAATATGAGGAGTGAGAAATCATAGTCAATAATGATGCTATAATAGCTTAATAAGCATTACACTCAATTAAATAAACACACATTCATATCATAGGTACGTATTCACTGATAAAGCTGAACATACAGAACAGAAACTGTAGTGTTCCACTCTGACTGCTGACTGAAATACACACAATCTTCCATCACACAGAACCTCATCGCTTACACACTCAGATTAAATATTAGCACCTTCATATAGCAGCTCTCACTCTGCTGAAGACATAAAGAGAACATTTACTCACAGAGTATTACAGAGAGTGACCTGAACTCCATA